GGTCTCAGTGTCCCCCAAAGACGTTCAGAGGGTCCCAGGGAGGGTCTCAGTGTCCCAGGACGTCCCCAGGGTGGTCGCACCCCGCCTCGGGGTCCCCTCCAGCCCCACCTTGTCGATGAAGGAGGCGAATTTATCGTTGAGGGTCTTGATCTGCTCCTTCTCCTCCCGGCGCAGCTCCTGCAGCTCGGGGTCCACGGCCACGTCCAGCGGCGTCAGCAGGCTGCGGTTGATGGTGACAGCCGTGATCCCCCCCGAGGGACCCCCAAAACCCCCGGGGCCGCCGCGGAGACCCCCGTAAGGGCCGAAAAACGGCGCCGTGCTCATCCTGAGCGCCGGGCCGGCCGTGAAGGAACGCGAGGAGAAGGAACGGCCCGGAACGGCCGCGCTGCTGCGGAGCGGCTGCCGGGGGATGGAGACSGACATCGGGGAGAGACGGCGGGGAGAGCGGGGAGAGAGCGGGGAGAGAGATCGGGAGAGCTCCGGAGGAGGGGAAAGAGCGTGGATGGAGGGTGAGGAGGATGGAGAGGGTCGGGAAATGGGAAAGGAGCGTGGATGGAGGGTGAGGAGGATGGAGAAGGTCGGGAGGAAGGAAAGGAGCGTGGATGGAGGGTGAGGAGGCTGGAGAAAATGGGAAAGTGGGAAAGGAGGTTGGAGGAAGTTGGGAAAGAGGGTGGCAGGTGGGAGAAGAAGATCGGGGAGGTTTGGAGGAGGATGAGGAGGTTTAGAGGATGAGGAGGATGAGGAGGGTGAGGAGGTTTGGAGGAGGGTGAGGAGGCTGGAGAAGGTCGGGAAATGGGAAAGGAGGTTGGAGGAAGTTGGGAAAGAGGGTGGCAGGTGGGAGAAGAAGATCGGGGAGGTTTGGAGGAGGATGAGGAGAGCGCGGGGAGGACGGAGAAGGGTGGAAGGAGGCTGGAGGCAGAGCAGGCTGAGGAGCWCTGGAGGAAGCTGAGGACGTCTGGACGAGGTTGGAAGAGTCTGGAGGAAGCTGAGGAGGACGAGGAGGAGGCCGAAGGCCGCGCTCGGGGCAGGGAGGCTCCGGCAGCCCCGGCAGGACCGGCAGGACGGGTCGGGGCAGGACGGGCCGGGCCGGGCGGAGCGGCCGGGCGGGTTCCGGGCGCGTTCCCGGGTTGGTTCCCGGGTTTATCCCGGAGCCGGGGGAGGAGAAGCGGAGGGAGGGACCGGAGCTTTAACCCCTTCGGGGCGCGGGATCCGCCGGGACCGGGACAGGCGGGGGTTCGGGGGGGGGCTCACCCCAAATGGGGGTCCCGGTGCGCCCCATCCCCCTCCGCACACCCGGCCAGAGGAGAAAACCCGCCGGGTGTCCCCAGGGAGTGTCCCCAGCCCTGTCCCCACACCTGGGTCTCCCCAGTGTCTGACTCCACATCACCAAGTCCAGTCTGGGTCCCCAACCCCAGACCTCAGTCCGTGTCCACTGCCCGTGTCCCCATCCTGGGATCCCAAACTATGTCCCCATGGCATGTCCCCAACCCTCTGTCCCCAATCCCTGACCCCATAGTTTAGAGGGCCACCAAACCATGCCTCCAGCCCCAAATCCTCCAATGCAGGACCCCAATCCCTGCCCCCCACTCTGTGTCCCCAGACCCAAAACTCCAACCCCTGACCCCAAACCCTGTCCCCACTCCATGTCCCCAACCCCT